GGAAGGGGTTAAAAGTTATAGACTATGGGTTAGAGAGCTTAAAGGCTATAAGATCATTATAAGTAGAAATGTGGTATTTAATGAGGATGACCTGCCCTGTTTTAAGTCTGAACAGCAACCCGCAAACCTTTTAGAGACATCTGATCAATTTGAAAATGTGAGAAAAAAGGGTTGAGTTTGAGGTGGAACAATCTGGGGTTGGTTCTGACCAATCTACCCCTCAAAATGATGAGGAATCTGAAGCTGAAAATGAATTTGGTGGGGTTCCTGAGGCTGAATTAGAGTCTGTACAGCCCTTTGTTGATTGCTAACTTGTTAAGGATAGGGAAAGAACGACCATTAGACCTCCAGTTAGGTTTGAAGATGATGTTCTCTTACTGTCCTATCATGACATGATTTAGGAAGAACCTGAATCCTATGATGAGGCTTTGAGTAGCAAAGATTCCAAACAATGGCTTGCAGTCATGCAAGATGAAATGGAATCGCTTAACAAAAATAAGACATGAATTTTGGTAAAAAGACCGGAGGGTAAGAGTAGAGGTGTCAATCCGGGTGGTCCGGGCCGGGTCGGCCCGCCAACAAGTGAGCCCGGTAACGGCCCGCGTGAAAAAAAGCCCGCCCGCTGCGGGTTCCGGGCCGGTTACGGGTCGGCCCACAATTTTGGACTACAACCCAGGCCCGCCCGCTGACCCATCCGGGTCGAGCCCATGCGGGTCACGGGTCGCGCGGGTCGCGGTTCGTTCCGGTTTGGCCCGTATGATTGTATAAATAAAATTATAAAAATATAGAATTTTTCCGGTTTGGCCCATATGGAGAGCAACTATCATTGAAAATAGGATTTTGAGAAGAAGAATCGCGAGAATCCATAATATAGTAGGATTAAAAAATTTAGTAGTGACTAGTGAGAACCGAGAAGAAAGAAATATAATCAAGATGATGATGATATTTGCAATTGAATAATTGTAATTGTAGTAAGGTAGTAACAAGTATGAACTATGAAGTATAAATGTATAATAACTAATGAGAGGATATTGTAAAAATAAATGTAAGAATAAATTGGAATTTATTGATGAAGGGGATGATATTACCGTTAGAAAATTTATATTACCATTAGTTAAAATTAAAAAAAAAAAAATTGACCATGCAGCAGGCTACGCCTTTTTTTGAATTTTTTTTATTTTTATTTTTTCAAATTTTTTTGTTTGGCTCTCTTCCCCCTCTTTTTAATTTTTTTTTTTTTTTTTCAATTTTTTTTACGGGCCGCGGGTTAACCGCGGCCCGTGGGGGTGCAACCCGCGAAGCCCGCGGGGTACACCTCCTTGGCCCGTGAACCGCCCGCACGGGTCACGGGTCAGCCTGCTGTCCCGGTTTTCACGGGTCATGGCCGGCCCGTCCGTCTTGACACCTCTAGGTAAGAGGGTTGTAGATTGTAAATGGATTTTTAAAATAAAAAGGGGTGAACAAAGTGAGAATGACATAAGATATAAAGCTTGTTTGGTTGCTAAAGGTTTTACTCAAAAAAGAGTTGATTTCAATGAAAATTTTTCACCTGTAGTAAAATTCACTACAGTTAGAGTCATTCTTGCTTGGCCACTCAATTTAATTGGGAATTAGACCAATTAGATATAAAACTGTTTTTCTAAATGGGGATTTAGAAGAAACCATTTATATAAAACAACTTAGATGATTTGAATTGAATAAGAAAGTTGACTTAGTATGCATTCTTAAGAAATCTCTATATGGCTTAAAACAAGCTCCAAGACAATGGTATAAAAAATTGACAATTTTGTACTTGGATTTGGATTTAAGAAAAGTAACTTCGATACTTGTCTTTATTGTAAGGGTAAAGGTGGAACTAATTCACTTTACCTACTCCTTTATGTGGATGGCATGAAATTAGCAAGTCATGACATAAAGGAGATTGAGGAAATTAAAGACAAACTAAAATTTGAATTTGAAATGAAGGACTTAGGTCCAGTTAGAAAGATTTTGAGTGTGGAAGTAAAGAGAGATATGAGAGAAGGCACACTAAGTTTTAGTCAAAAATCATATAGTTTGAAATTGCTTAGCAAATTTTCTATGGCTGAATCCAAAAGTGTTAGTGTTCCTTTGGCTAATCATTTTAAACTATCAAATGATTTATGTCCTAAAACTAAAGAAGAGTTTGAAAGAATGGCACAAGTGCCTTATCCTAATGCAGTTGGGTCTGTTATGTATCTCATGGTGTGCTCTAGACCTGATTTGACATATTCTATAAGTGTTTTGAGTAGATATATGGCAAATTCAGGTGAAACACATTGGGAAGCTATGAGTGGCTTCTTAGGTACATTAAGGGGACCTGAAACTTAGGGATTCAGTTTAGAAAACAAGCTAAAGGTATTATTTTAAAGGGGTTTACCGACTCTGATTATGCAGGTGATAGGGATAATAGAAAATCTACTTCATCATACATGTATACTTTGTGCAATTCTTGCATAAGCTGGAAATCCCAGCTTCCAGATTCTTCCATTTTCTCTCGTGTTCTCTACGCTGTTTCCTCGATATCTCTTGTTCACTGTAGAAATCAAAGATGCTCATTTGATTTATGATTTTCTCCCAATAGTTTGTAAATTTTGTGTGATTTCACTGTTTGAGGGATGGTTCTTGTGTGAACCGTGTGCTATGTATTAAGAGGGATTTCGTGCTTGTGATTCATATGTTTAGTCTGAGTGTCCACTTCTTGTAATCTCACTTTGGTTGTGATTTGCACTAGATTAGTGGTTGTTCTTCAGTAATCTAAGCAAGGTCTACTGCATTCTTGGCTTGAGTGCTTCGAATAATAAAGATGAGTTTACTTTCATTTTTCTTTGCTTATTTACAACATGTTTTGATTTCTATTTTGTATATTCTTTAGTTGATTTTGTGCACTAATTTGTGAACTCCTCCCAACAATGACTATACTGTCGAAGGCAAAGTTTAATGGGTCAATTGCCTTGCTCCAATGCTAGAGTAACTTTGGATCACACGTGATTGCCACACAGTGTTACATCGAAGGCCTAAGTGGGCTTTGCATCCTTGGTAGTGCTACGAGGGGTGTAACAACTACATTGTTATTTCGCTTGCCAACTCAATAAATCCGTAGTGATAGGCAGAGGTTAGCATAGCAAGTAACCAAACATCAAACATTAAGTTGGGCGACCAAAGCCAAAAAGTATGACATTACACGTCGACTAGGTAGGTCGCACATCCCACGTGGGATCCGGCTGCCGGGCAATACATGCACCTGCCATCCTGCTCACCGTCTTAGGCCTTTGCGGTCGAGCTGGACTGAGCGGATCAGCTCACTTTTAAAACTTTACACCTCCAATGTGCCACAATAATTGAACAGCTCTCTTCATCCCTAAAGGGAAAGTGTCAGTATGCTTTGTCTGCATAAGCCATGAGAAATCCTTCAGTTGTCTATTCTTTCACAACCATAAAGGAGGAAAAGCTTACCTGCACCCGCACCCCACCCCCNCCCCCACACACACACCCCCAAATCATATTTATTTTTTCACAGCTTTCAGCATTCAAAAGAAACAAAATCTTTTATGCTTGTCTCCAACTCGTCAAAATCCAACATTATTTTTTTACAATTGCCATTATATATAGGCAGAATATTAGTTCCCAATCCTGCAAAAAACTCCATTTGTGAGAGTTATAATTATGCAATTTTCTGTACCACATTTACCGTCGAAACTGTAGTTTTGTTATATTCTTTACTTTCTTGATTACAAAATCAAGAACATTACAGGCTCCTATTTAAAGAATTCGAGTTTTGCTACACAAACATAAAACAACACACATATGGGGAGGTTGACATTATTTAATTTAGGTCGGGTCTCACATGCAATGTGAGTGGTCGGTCAACCCCTATGTCAAGCATTATGTTCATTTAGCTTAATTCAAAGAATTCAAGCATCCAAAGACAGACAGTCCAATCCCAACACCAAATCTTAGAATTTTTGTCATGGGGAAGACTGATGAAAATTCTTGGTTAAATGTGGAAAAGGGCTTTCAGATCTCCTGTCAAAGAAATCAGAAGAGGAGAAGAACATGAACAAGACTACGAAGAAAAGGTATTACTTCTAGTCCTAGAGTCAAACTTGAAGCATGTCTGGTTTGGTGGGCTCGACACTATTAACAAAAAATAACAAAAAATGAAATGAAAATCTTGTCCATTCTCGTGTCCAGTCCAATGGTGCAGAAGGGAGGAAAAAGAAGATGGATTCTATGGAAACCATGCCTTCAGGAAACAACCATACAACATAGTGAAACTAAACACTAAGCTTCTCCAATTAGCACTTCTTCCACAAGCAATTTGTCAGTTAATATTGAATCCGAGCAAAGGCGCGGTATTGCAATGGCTATGGCAACGAAAGCTGCTGCCGAGCAGCCGAGTCAGCAGTTGTGACAGCACAGGCAGCAGTCGAGATTATTCGGCTATCAGGATCTAATTCCATTTTAGTCTTGAAGTTCTATCCCAAAAGGAAACCTAATACATACATTTGATTTTAAACCAGATTGCACTGATGTATATATCCACAACGCGTCATTGTGGATATAAGCTTCTATTCTATCCTATACAGAAAACGTGCTATACAGGTATATAATAATTTATCTATTTCTAACCGATTGAACTTTTAGACGAGATGATTCAACAAGAAGCTCCTCATCCAATAACAAGAACAGAATCTGATTATGGTCTAAATTAATATCAAACGTACCTGAATTCCTTCTGGAATTAATCAATTGGAAAATATTAGAGTGAAATTCAGACATTATAGATATTGAATGACATGATTCAATCACAAAGAGATATTGAACTTTCAAGAAGCATTCATCATTCTGCTATATCAAATTGCAGAAGTTCCTATAGAAAATGCTCATACAAAGTAAAACAAGAAACACATCATAAAAAGAAAATTGCAATATCCAAAAATAACCAAATTCAGGAATCAACTTCAAAGAAACTCATAAGCCTAATTTAGCCATGGGAATGTGACAGCTTCTGATAATCCTCGTGGAGCTGCAAGAGTTGGACTGTTGCAAACACTGCCATCAGAATGTGAAAACAATGTTCGTTGCAGAACCCCGGATGGGGATGAAACAGTAGTTGCCGGGGGGCTGATTGAGTTATATGGAGAAGCTGAATTCAAGCCTTTTAGAGTGGTTGATCCAGGCCGTAACGCCTCAGCTAACGGCCCTCCTTGTCCAAAAGGCATCAAAGAAACAGGGTCTAGCCAACTTGAATCTTCATGCTTATGGTCATCATAGTCTCCTATATCACTCGCAGTTTCGATCTTCATTTGTTCATCTAAGATATTTCCAGCAGCCATTGCCATTGTTAAAGTGAGTGAGGAAGGGGAAAAGTTCCCTTGATCTGATGATACAGAGGAGTCAGCATTGCCAGTGTTATTTGACCATGCATCGATAAATCCCCTTGCAGTCTCTATCTGTGAGTTTTCCAAAGACACCAAACCGGGGTTGAGAAATGATCCTGTATAGCACTGATCACCACCACTATGATCAACAACGTGATCAGGGGCTGGGTAATCTGTGTAGGAGAACATATTCAACGACTGGTTTTCCGCATAATCTTGATAAAAAACAGATGCATTAGTGTTATAAATCAGGCCTTCATTTGCTATATCTGTGTCCATCACATGCTGCCATTGTGGATTAGCCAAACGCATTGCCACCATCTCAGCTTCTATCATCAAGTCCAAATCCCTTCAATCCATAGGCCAAAATCAATGAACAAGGAAATAGAACAATACATTAATAGAATGTACCGTTAGATGGACCGGACAGAGCTCGACATGACAGTATAAAGATGGAAAAGAAATTAAATCTTATTCATTCGACAGTCTAGTACAATCAAATACTTAATACCATATTACACTAATGGTGTAAAGGGTATAATCCCACATTGCTTTAAAGATGAAATCAACAATCAACGTATAAGGCTTGAGTTACTTAAGAAGGAACATAAGCCTCAATAAATGGTACATTGAATATGGAAGGTTGAATAGTTCTGCGTAGTATTGAGACAAAAAAAAGAAAAGTTAATTTTTTTTTCCTTACTCTAAATTCTATCCAAAAATGCATATGAAACACCAAACAGATTTAACAAAAGCTAGCTGCCATTCAAAAACCAACCTGTTAGGTTCCTTGCAAGAGGCTGTAGAAATATTTGGATCAGTTTTGGGATAGTATATCAGAGAAGTCTCTTTTGATGCTAGAAACTGGTTTGAGGCAGCACTGGTGGCTTGTACATTGGTGTTGAAAGACGAATTGTTTTTGACTTCCACAGGCTTTCTTGAACGTGGACGGCCTCTATGCAGGTGGCGCTCACAGTATTTCTGGTTTGGAGCCACATCTTTTGAGCACCTCCATTTCTTGCCGTCCGTTCTCTTGCACCTTCCGGGCTCAGGATCTCCATTTTTCGAATTTCTCATGTTAATTATGCCTCCGCCATTCACTTTTCCCAAATCACCAAACAAGAAAAATCAACAAAATCAAATCAAGAATAGAAAACTCAAAACATATGAAAAACAGAAACAGAGAAAATGACCCATCAAAGATGGAAGTTTAAACATTCCACCACCATTCACTCATCACTACCCCCTAAGCACCAAACAAGAAAAAGCCCACAAATCAAATAAAAAGGAAAGCTCAAATCAATGAACACACAATAATAGAGCCAAAAATTAACAAATTAAAGATGGGATGTAAACTTTAAACATTCCACCACCACTGACTTATTACTACCCCCAAGCACCAAACAAGAAAAAACCACAAATCAAATCAACATGACTCAAAACAAATGAAAAGACAGAAAGAGCAACCCATTAAGTATGGAATGAGAAGTTTAAACAGTCCACCACCATTTACTTATCGCTACCCCAAGCACCAAACTAGAAAAACACACAAATCAAATCAAGAAAGAAAGAAAGATGAAATCGAATGAAACCACATAAACAGGGCAAAATGACGCATCAAAGATGGGATTGTAAAGTTTAAAAACATTCCACCACTATTCACTCATCACTACCCCCAAGCACCAAACAAGAATAACCCACAAATCAAATCAAGAAAAGAAAACTCAAAACAAATGAACACGCAAAAATAGAGCAAAAGGAGCCATTAAAGTTGGGATGTGATGTTTAAGCATTCCACCACTATCATCACTACCCCCAAGCACCAAACGAGAAAAGAAAGCTCAAAAGAAATGAAAACACATAAAGTGAGCAAAAAATCAATCAAAGATGGGATGTAAAGTTAAGCACTTGTTTGAAAGTGATTTCTTTCCCATTTTTCTTTTTTTTAAAAAAAAAAAAATCATTTTCCCATTTCTATGTAACTTTTCTTTACTTTTTAACTACAATTCTCCCAAAAAAAAAAAAACAAAAAATAACAAATAAATCATTTTCACAAAAATCACTTCTCAAGAAATAAACTCCACGCAATGGCTAAATATTCCACCACCACCACTACCCGTAGCACCAAATAAGAAAAACCCACAAATCAAATCAAGAAAAGAAGCTGAAAACAAATGAAAAGTGAGCATAAAGACTCATCAAAAGAGGGATGTTCCGGGGTGGGGGTATAGTCTTACATGAAGCATAAGGGTCTGCTGCAACTGCAGGAGAATGGCTGGAAATGGGAAAAAGAAGATCGGGAGGCACAGAAACAGAGGCCACCATGTACTTATAGATCATAGCTTGTCTTTCAAGCTCCTTCCATTGATCTGATGTAAAAGGAGAAACTACGTTTGCCTCCATCCCCCCTACATATCACCAAACAAAATAGCATTTTCAGTGTCATTTCTCTTTCTCACAGTTTTTTTACACAAAGAATTAAACAGAAGTAAAGAAAGAAAGAGAGAAAGAAAGAACAACTTTACCTGGGGATTTCAAGGCAGTTGAAGCAGGAAAAATGTCAAAAAGCTGCAAAGTTTTAACCACTGAACCACCACCTCTACTACTACGAACATCATCCCCGTATATATTTCCCCCAATCTCGATAACTCCGCCATGGTTAGAGAGGGTCCCACGACCATAATCGAATTGACGGCCATGATTTGCTTGATTAAGATTACTCGTCATGATAATCTTGGAAGGGAATGATTCTGCACTCTGCGACTTCAAACCAAAATCCCTACTACATACATCTGATGATGCCGCCTTGTCTGAAAATCTAAACTAAACCCACTAAGATTATCACAATTTTTCATAAACCCACATTTCCAAAACTGGAAAAACAACTTTTTTTTATTATGATTACCAGCTAAAAAGTAAGAACGGAAAACAGAAAAAGAAACCTAAAAAAGTGCTTATTTCTTCTTTGTGATTCAATTTTCAACTGTAAATACATAAAAAATAAAAAATCAAGAACTGGGTTTTACGGACGGGGTGGGGTGGATTTTGGAATTTTGTAGTTTATTGCCGCCATTGTCGGCCTTGGGTTTGCCTCCATTCTTCCAACATTCGCACACTAAACACAACAGTAGATAAATGCAAAACTCTTATTATATTTTCTCTCTCTTATAATTGCCATATCTATCGTTTTCCGCATTCATAAAGCTTGACCACCGTACTACTTTATTAATATTTATTATTCTTAAAAAAAGGAAAAAAAAAACTCATAATCTTTCTTTAAAAAAAAAAAAATCACTGTTTAAATATGTTGGGGATAAAATATTCACTTTTGAAGGACAGAAATCCAGAATCACACCACGGTTGAGCCTTAATTTAATCACTATATCGTCTCTTATGGCTTAATAATCACCGCTTCAAAATTTTATACGAGGAAAAATTGCACCGTCAGTTCTTACCAAGTGAAATAGCAAAAGGTTACCCCAAACTTTGACGATGTTTGACCTTGGTTCCCATTATTCAAAATACTTGGGTCCTTGATGGACCATTTTACCCTTATTTTTAGTTAACTAGCTCAAATTTTATGAGAAAGATAGTTTTATCGTTACATTCAAATAGATGAATAATTAAACTAAAAAATGAACAAAAAGAGAAATATTGTTCTTTCTCAAACCCAAACAACCACCACCACAAAAATACCCCCAACGTTCTCAAGAAAAACATTGATAAGGTCTTATGTGCACACGTAATAGAATTCATATTTTAAATCATGATACCTCGAACTATTATGAACCTTTCAAGTCAGAAGGTCTTATACGCACAGTTAATATGATTCATAGTTTAAGAGCTTGTTTGGGTGAAATTAAAATTCAATTAAAAGTGAAAATATAGACATTATTGGATCCCACTCGTCTAATAAAAGTCAACTCCAACTGCTAGTTTTTAAATTTTAATCTGATTTTAATCCCTCCTAAACAAGCTTCAAATCATTTCCACATTTCTAATTTTTAACAAGTTGGTGGTAGGATCCACTCGAATGTCAATTTGATGTGATTTGAGTAAGTTGTAGTTCAAAGTATCACAATTTAAGTGGTTGTTCCTACCATGTAGGGCCATCCCACCAAAGACTTTCTTCACCTTCAAAGTGTCACAATTTAAGTTGTAGTTGTTCGAGTAACAAGTGGTTTGGGTTAGTGGAATGGTGCGATGTGGTTTGGATGAGAAGAAGATTTTTCCTTTTTCTATTATTTAATAGAGCTTATTTAAAGAATTTTTATTTAAAGAATTTTAAAAAAACTTTTAGCTTCTTAATTAAAGACGAAGGTGAAATTGTTCAATAGCAATGGAGACCTAGAAAGACACGGGATATAAATGCTTCAAGGGATATGAATGCTATTTTTCCGAATACTAATCTCTGTCTTCAATATATTAAAACTTAAAAAGTCTCATGGTATGAGAGTCATTTTATAGATGAATTTATTTTATTAGTGTTCTTTTTATTTTTAATTTAATTGATTTACATATGTATTTATACATTCATAAACCAATTTGTTGAAAAATAAATCAAATGCAACTTACTTTCACGTGTTTGGATACTCTAGAAGCCATTCACATAATACAATAAGGCTAATTAGCACAAAACATCCCTACCTTTGGGGTGAATTTCGGAAACCATCCATACCTTTCATTTCTTGACATTTATGCCCTTACCTTTGGGGTTTTGGTGCGCTGAACATCCTTTTCACTGTTTTTTTTACGATTTTACCTTCCATTCAATTTAGACACAAAGAAAAGAAAAGAAAAACAATCCAATAAATTGCAACTATAGGCCCAAACTTTTTAAAAAGTGCAAATAACCCATTAAACTTCACATTCTTCCCAAAATTCACCCTCACCCTATCGTTGCCTGCCGGTCATTTTCAGGCCACCATGGCCGTCGGATTTTTGCATCAACACCATCTCCTCATCAACCCCTAATGTACCAACACAAATTCAAACCCCAAAATACATCAAACTCGAACCAAAATTCAGCCAAAAAAACAACATTCACGCACGATTTTTTTCCAACTTCGACCAAATCCATGGATGCCCATGTTAATTATACTCCACAGGTCCCTCAAGCTCACCCATCTGTAATGGAATAGTCAGGCACAAATGGCAGAAGTACAGAAGATTTTGGAGTCAATGCCATCCATAGAAGAGGAGGTTCAGGCACTTAGGAGAGAAAACTATGCTTTTGAACGTGAAATGGAGCCCTTTCAACTGTCCAGGGACAACGTTCTGGTGCCATTTGGAAGTGGGTTGCGGGCTAGATTAGGTTCCCAGGAACTGCTGAAGTTGCCCAAGTCAGTATCTTACTATTGTTGTGACCTTCGCACGTGAATAGTATGGAGACAGGACAGAGATGGCGTGGATGGTAGTGCGTGAATGTTGTTTTTTTGGCCGAATTTTGGTTCGATTTTGTTGTTTTTTTAGGTTGAAATTTGTGTGGGAATGTTAGTGGTTGATGAGGAGATGGTGTTGGTGCAAATATTTGGTAGCCACGGTGGCCTGAAAATGACCGGCAGGCAACGATAGGGTGGGGGTGAGTTTTGGGAAGAAGGTGAAGTTTAATGGGTTATTTGCACTTTTTAAAAAGTTTGGGCCTATAGTTGCAATTTATTGAATTTTTTTTCTTTTCTTTTCTTTGTGTCTAAATTGAATGGGGGGTAAAATCGTCAAAAAACAGTGAAAAGGATGTTCAAATCACCAAAACCCCAAAGGTAAGGGCATAAATGCTAATAAATGAAAGGTATGGATGGTTTACGAAATTCACCTCAAAGGTAGGGACGTTTTGTGCTAATTAGCCAATACAATAATATTCAAAAATAACTATTTTCATATAGCAAAAGTTCCACGACTAGGCACATAAATTTATACTTTATGGTGAAATATTTAGCAAATGTTCGTACGAATTCACCTAGGAAGAGGAGAATTTGGTTGATCGAGTGGTGGAGGTAGAGGTGTCAAGACGGACGAGCCGATCAGACCCGTGAAAACCAGCCCAGAACGACTCGGGACCGCGGGCCGACCCGTGACCAGAGCGGGCGATTCAGGAGTCAAGGAAGTGTGACCCCACGAGTTTCGTGGGTTGCACCTTCACGGGCCGCGATTAACCCGTTGGCCAGTGAAAAAAAAAATTTAATTTTGAAAAAAGGGGGTGGGGGGGTGAACCAACATAGTTGGGATATACTTAAACTATAAATTATAATAAAACTTTGCAAATTTATAAATAATTCATGTAGCATTAAATTTGAATTTTATGTAAATATTTCTTGGTATAAGTATGAATTTATCATTTTATTCAATTCTTAGTTTACATTTAACAAAAACAAATATTTTTTGCTATAAGTATGAAAAATTCAATTTTTTTATAATTTTATTTATACAATAATATGGATTAAATCGGAACAAACAGCAACCCGTGATCCGCATGGGCTCGACCCAGATGGGTCAACGGGCGGACCTGAATTGTAGTTCAAAATTTGTGGGCCAACCCAAAATCGGCCCAAAACCCGTAGCGGACGGGCATTTTCACGTGGGCCGTTACCAAGCTCATATGTTGACGGGCCAACCCGGATTGACACCTCTAGGTGAAGGAAAGTCAAGTTCTAGTTAAAAGGTGATTAATGCATATGAAGTAAAACAAAAAGACTTAAATATTTTTAAAGACAATGGTATAATTCGCGTCGATTACGATTAGTTGTAGAGGTACTAAGCGAAAAATATAACAAAATTAACCAAAAGAAAAACGAAAAAAGTATAAAAGGGCAGATGATTTAAGTGAAATGAAATTGAAAGGACAAGAGAACGTTAATGAAGGGGGCCAAGCCATAAAGGGAAAGACAGCTGTGGAATAAGATAGGCAGTCTCCATCACCCACAAAAGACAAATAGTACCCCCAACCACTCCAGACCCATCCCCAGACACTCTTAAAAAGTGAATTTTCAGTAAATCAAATTAAAGGCATGTTTGATGTAATTTTTTGAAAAATAATTTTTTTGGAGAAGGGATGATGAAAAACTGGAAAAATTATCGAAAAGTTGGGACCAAAACTGCAATAAGAGCAAAGGTTTGGACCATTTACGCCAACTTTCCTATAAAAATTATCGAAAAGTTAGTCCATCATGGTTTGATAATTTGTCTCCGTTAATGTTGTGCAGAACAGAACTTCTGACGCGCTAATTTAACATAAGAATGGTCTATTTGTACTTTGTGCAAAGTTACCTAATTTTTCCACAAAAATATAAAGTTCGTGAAATTGGAGAATCAAGTGGCTGGATGGAAGGCACGCATGTGGAATAGATAGAAACTTATGGTCTGCCTCCAGGCAGGGAACATAGAATAATTAAAACATATTGTACATGGACCCCACATTTTGTTGTTATGGATTATATTCCTTCTACCACCACCAAGGAAACACCAACTCTCCTTTAAATCCCCACCTTTAATTTACTTACCATAGAATATCTGATATCTAACCTTCTTGCACAGCAGTCACATCAGGTTGAAATCATGCATAAACAAGTATATTAAGAAGAATAATAATGTTATATAACACCCATTTAGGTGACTACACTTGATATATTGTATTTAAGTGAGTATATCATTTAATGTCATATAGTTGTCACCTAGACTGGTGGTTGACACAAGTTGTGCTGAATAATATTACTCTAAGAAGAAATTGACCTAAAAACACGTTTATCGTTTATCAAAACAAACCATCTTCTAAAACTTGATGCAAACCAGGTGTCCATGATGAAAGAACAGTAAGAATCTATTCAACAGTATCGGTAAATTAAGCGGTTGTATGAAATTCTGATCATAATACCTTCCCTGCTGTTTGCCAATCAAACTTGTACCAGGTCTTCCGAGGAATGTGCCTTTGCTTTGTGAAGAAACATGCCTATCTTAGCCTGTTCCATTTCCAACCGTCGATAGTGTAGACCGCCGGGGCCTAGTATCAGATTCTTTCAACCCGATCTTTAGGTTTGCTCAGAATTTTAATTTTCGAGATGCCCCCAGCAACATCAAAAGAAACACCGTTCAAATTCTTATTCTGCATTGTTGATGGGAACTGATATGGTTTCCCGACAATATTTGCAGACATGGATTCAAGGGAGGATGCCTTCTTCAACCAGTTGGGATGTGCCATGGGAGTGACTGCTACAGAAGGTACCTGTACTGAGTAAGAAGATGACGCTGCAGCAGTAACTTCAGCAACAGCTGCAATGGCTGCTATGATTTCTTGTGCATGTTCCCGAAGCTGAATGTAGTCTCCTCCAATTACAAATAACTAAAGAGGCAGCGAATATTAAGTATATAATACAAAACTTCATAAAAAAATTTGAAGCAGAAAAGTAGCGGGAGGAAGGCATACTTCAGGATGACTGATCACAAAGTCTTCAAGGTTCCCATACTTCTTCTTATAGTCGTGCCAGAGTAAAGGGGCCAGCACTTTTCCAAGTCTATTTTGAAGCTGTAAATCACACAAGGAATGCCCATTGTCAAACAAATCATAAAACATCGGCAACACTTTGCTAACTAGTTTATATACCAAACAAACGAATCCAATTTAACTAACCGTTGAACTAATCCTAGTTCTACCACCAGATCCAATTGTACGAACAATGCAAGCCAGTAATGATCTTTCATCGAGGAGAGCACTCTCTAGAGGTTTTCCAATTGCAAGTGTACTTTCCTGGGGAGTGGAAATAAAGGCATCAGTCTGGACAGAATTTGAGACAGTATTTATCATTGTTTCACTGAAATTTACAGCATGATTTGGAGCTCCAGTAGAGGATGCATCATCCGTAGAATTAGGTTTTTCTATCCCCAAACTTTTGTTCTCTAGTGCATGATCAGGTGATCAGCAATAGCATTGACATTCATCTCCTGTGCCAATTGAAATTGAAGATGAGCTCTCAATCTAACATGACTAAAAGTAGAACCACCATATCTTTAGAAGACCATGAAATATCAAGGAGAGAAAAATGATCATTTTCTGAGGAGAAATTAAACAGGGAAAAATTACAGCGAACAGACCTTTCTCTCATTATTGTTTTCAAGAGAATCCAATCTGAGAGCCTCATGAAACTGGGAAGAAATTTGTTGCAAGCTCTGCTGAGATTGCGCACCAACTGGGTAGTTGCTTTTATCTATAGACTCGAGAACCTGATTGAGAACAGCATAGCAGTTAGAAAAAAATGTAATATATCTAAGTACTATTTTCCAAGGGCAATTAACTACCTGTCCCTCTTCATTCGGTGATGGAACCACAGAAACAGGTTCCATCCCCTGATTGCTATTGGCCTCCAAATTGTTTCCAATAAGAACTTGCCCATTCATTGATGCTTCGTAGTTATTCTTAACATCCACTCTGAACGAGTTTTGTTCTGTTTGCAGATACTGTTCCTGAGAAGGCATATGTTGTCCATCTGATGCAGCAGCCTTGAACAAAAGAAAAGGACAAAGAGTTCAAAGTAATATGGCTATGGCAAATTGCAATTGTAATTGAAAATGGGCAGCAGCAAAAGAATTAAATTAATTATTCTACCAGATGGCTCTGCCAATGTTGATGAGATGACATCACAGGAACTGAGTGTGAAAGAAATTGGGTCACATGTGATGGGACAGAAGGATGAGGAAATCCTCGTTGATGCATTACAAGTCGTTGCACCTGTCCAGGAGGAAAATAGGTTGGCATCCCAAGTAGGGATGGAGCAAATGGAACCCCTAGAACATGCTCAATCTAAAAAAGGTGATTTTTAAAATCAAAGAAATAGTCTCACCAAGTCACAAGTTGATTTATGCATCTTGTGCACGTCAGGGTGTTGTGCTATACGCGGTCATCATTTCATTTACCACATCCTTTCCAGCAGCAATAGGGGGAAGAGGAGGCATATGATTATACAATTATTACTGAGTCTCAATCTCAATAAACTTGGGTAGGGGATAATGAAATATCAACTTTTTTAGTAGACGGTCTATTACTCTATTTGACAAAACTTTTCGCATTTCTATATGTTAACAGATCTGTCATATTGAAACATGTGACCAATACAAAATAGTGTTGCCTTCATTGTTAGATCCCATTAGCCAATCTGGTGTTCAATCAGGTATTGAGAAAAATGAATAACCTAGCCAGGAAGTAAAATACTTAACATGGAAAAATATTCAAACCCAGATATTGTACTCAAAAGAGACATCATAAATTAATCAAACATGATATCAGAAAAGAACAGTGTCTTTGGTCCACGTGCATCTGTTACAAGTTTATAATTCATGGTAAAGGATTAGAACAACCCACAGAAATTGTATTACATATTCTACCTGAGTTGTTGCATTTCCTCCTGAAGGAAAAGATGAAGCACTTTCAGCATTTTCATGTTGTAGGCTGCCAGAGTTCTCCTGCAGCATAAAATTTCCACTCACTTGGCTACCACTGCTCTGGCCAACATGAGAAGCATCTTTTAAACCTGTTTGCGAGACACGTGACCGATCAGATTTACTTCCACTCTGTTCTCTTACATCGGCCAATTCAAGCAGGATTTGTTGTATATGCAGATGAAGCCTTTCCATCTCACCAAACTAAGAAATATAACAAATCTAATCATTCTCTAATTAAAACAAAACGAACGATCAATTTTCTCATTCGGGAACTAAAGTAACAATCTTAATCACCTGAGCTTGACAACCAAACCACAGCTGATTACATTGTTCTGTGCGTTCTCGTAATTCAGCTTGTAAAGTATGGTTACCAGTTGACTGCAGAGTATTCATTTCCTGAGCACGAGCCATCCAAGATTGCGCTTCTCTTAACTGCTCATCTTTTAAAAGAATGGTCTCCTGAGCAATCCTATTCTGAATGCAGAGATAAAATATAACTGTTAAAAGTAAATCCAAGCATTTTAAAAATTATGCATGGCAAATGATTTCAAGAAAGCATTGACTGAGCATGGACAGCACCAAGGAAGATGCGCAAGCAGTCTAAGAAGTCTAGGTAAAATTAAATGAGTTGGTCAATTTCATGGATATTGCTCTTCCCACAGTTTAAATAAGGTGTTTAAAACTTAAAAAAAGAAAAGAAAAGGACATGATACAATAAGCATATATGTGCTTCAGAAAATTTAGCGAGTCAATGTCACTTGAATATGGTTACAAACACAAATATATCTACAGACCTGTTCCTGTAACTCCATGAATCGTTGCTCTTGGTCCTGAATATGTTCTTGAAGATCGTGAATTTGTTCAATATGTTGTGCCTTCTCAGCTTCAGAGTTATCCCTCTCTCTCCTGCAAAAGGATGCAGTTCATTATCATCGTCAGTCTCCACCGTCATCGTCATTATTAATATTATTATAGAGCATGTTCAAGTTATAATCCCCAAAACTCATGATTTTAGAAAAAAATGTCAGGGCAAATAGATAGACTGATTAAAGATGTCTCCTAGCCATGCTTCCAGTACACTTAATAGCAGTAAACAGCAAAACAGAACAACAACTTAGGCTGTCAAGTTACCATTTGACAGAAATTGATTTGCTTTTTGAGTAAATGCAACCTAAAACATTTCACATAACAACAAAGTATTTTTCGCGCAACTCTTAATCATCTTATAAATTGCTGAAAACCTATAATTCACTACCAAATACAGGTGTGAAGTGTCCAACGGGATCACAAACTACCTATAACTCTGAAGCTCTTTGCTTTGTTCCATTAAAAGATCTTCTTTGGCCCAAGCCTGTTAGAGTAGATGAAGAAAAGAGTAATAATGCATCAGCAGCAGAATCCCTGATCCAACCAAAAGGAGACTAATTTTTTTTCTTTTTTTGGTCAAACTAACCACTTCATTATCTAATCTAATGGCATGCAACTGCCTTTCTTTCTCTTCAATCTTTCTCTCCAGCTGGTGTATCATTTGTTCATTCTCATTCAATTGCTCCTAAAAATCCATTTGTACACATTACACAAAAGCATTAGAAACAAATTACTATGGATACAAAAATATAATCATGCACGTATATCGAAATACATGTGCAAGATAGTTAATTGTAAAAAACAATGAAAAAACAACAAAACCTGAAGCTTGACACTGGCATTTGCATGCTCTTTGATCTGAGCATCAAAATTATTCTGCATCTGCATAACCTCTGATCCTGCAATTATCTGTGCCTGGAGCTCAATCTCCACATGCTGCAGTTCCTCCTTTTGTTTTGCAATGGCATAAAATCTCTGATTCAAAATATCACTTTCCAACCTTCCATCAACTGGAATGGAGCAGAAATTCAAGTCCACTGGCTCGATCTGCTGCAGCACCTTAATACAACACACTAACTCTCTTCATTACCACTCTCTCACATTAGCTGACAAGAAACACAAGATACATAGTACAATCAAACTAATTCGTTCCGAAGAAGGCGTTGTTACCTCATATATCAATCTCTTATCACATTGCCCTAGCTTCAAACGCTCCATCTCCTACGTAGTATCGCCAAGATACATATCAAGATAATATATATATATA